GAAGTAGTTCAAGCCTTTTACTGTTTTAATATTGATGACTGTTAGATTAATTGATAACTCTAAATTGTCCCTAGGTGTGAGTGAGAGAGTGAATGGTTGTTTGTCTCGTTTGTCTCTATGTGTGGCCCTGTGATGGACTTGCGACCTGTCCAGGGTGTACCCTGCCCCTCGCACTGTGACTGCTGGAAATGGGCACCAGTGACCCACGCGACCCTGAAAAGGAAGAAGCGTGTACAGAAAATGGATGGATGGATGGATGGAATCTGTGGATCCCTGTTCCTCAGCACAGATCCTCGCAGACTTACATGATTGTACATGTAGCGCAGCATGAAGTCCATGAGGAAGGACTTGCCCTTCCGGAACGCCCCCGCCACAGAGATGGCCACCACCTCCCGCTCCCTGACCTTCTCAGACAGCAGGATCCGGCTCAGCGCCGCCTCGTTCAGCTCGAACGTGTGGTCGTCTTTGACCAGGAGCACCTGGACGGGCCTGGCTCGTCCGTCCGGCTCCTCGTCCTCCGAGCTCCAGTCGTAGACATTTTTGTCACTCAGAGACCCTGAAAGAGAAATCAGAGGAGGAGCTCAAAGAACGGCTCATGTTCCTGATGAATTAAATAAAAAGGTGTAATAAAACTGCCAGATGAGTGATGAGCAGACTGAACGGTCCATTAAGTGAGGAAGCAGAAATTCTSTTCATGTTTCCTGTTCTGTTAGCTCCACATCAGCCAGGCTGCATGGAGTCTGTTGATAATTAAAGTGTTGCACATCACCTGCTGCCTTTCATGATTCAGACTGAGATGACTCTATGATGATAAAAAACAGGAGTTGTAGCTGAAGTTATTTTAGGAGATCTTGGATGGAATCAGCAGCTACCTACTAGAGATACATCAGCATTAACACCAGCATCGGTCCGATAAGTTAAACTGGGCCAATATTAACGTTGATATTGATTTCCCACTATTTAGCTTTGTGCTTTTTTTGGGAACCGGCTCTTGGCATAGGCGAACTAGGTGGTTGCGTAGAGCACCATCTGCTGGAGGGGGCGCCGAACTGCAGAAGAAGAAAAGTAATTATTTGTAATCCCTGGTTGTAACTCTGCTCAGTGCCTCTTTAGCTTTGTCTTAAAAAACTATAATGAAGTATTACAGGAAAAATAAACTACTCTACCCATAAAACATTTTCTCCCCCAATGCAGCAATCGCCCCCACCCTCTGTCTCATTTGATTGACGTTGCACTGACTCGTCCTGTTCTGATACTCTGACGGGGGAGGGGCTAGTAGTGCCTCTCAGGTAGCAATTCGTGTTGACAAACTCACTAACAACAAGTCTGTATTTTGTTGTCCCAAACATGTCAACCTCTTTGGATGTTTACCTGGTAAAAAGCCTCAAAAATCCKTAAATTTTGTAAAAAAAAATCCATATAACTTGGACCTGCGGGGGTTGTCAGCCTCGCTGGGGACATGAAAGCGCCCGCTACAAAGCAGGAGAAAAGGAGAGCGCATAAATTAAAAAACGTATTTCTAGTGGCAAAACAGGTTGGAAGATGGCTATTTAATGTTATTTATTGTTTTTTAATCATCCTACACGCTTGTTAGATCCATTTGAAAATGAGGTTTTGAAAAAATCCGTAAGACTTGAAAAAAATCCATGGGATTGCTCTATACCAGTGGTTCCCAAACTTTTTATCTTTTGATCCATGGCAAAAACTTGTGACCCCAAATATTATGGTCTGAGTAAACTTTGTTTAAAAAAAAAAACAAAAACACAGGCTTTTTGACAATCTAAACAGCTTGTACACAAATATAAATACTTATTTATAC